AATTGGGAATTGAGAGTTGGGAGCCAGGAGCTGGGAATTCGGCCACTAGAAGACCTTTTTTTCCCTCCTCCTCCTCCTCCTCCTCCTCCTCCTCCTCCTCCTCCTGCTCCTGCTCCTGCTCCTGCTCCTCCTCCTCCTCCTCCTCCTCCTCCTCCTCCTCCTCCTCGTAATCCTCTTCTTCTTCCTCCTCCTCCTCCTCCTCCTCCTCCTCCTCCTTCTGCTCCTGCTTCTCCTCCTCCTCCTCCTCCTCCTCCTCCTCCTCCTCCTCCTCCTCCTCCTCCTTCCTCTACCTCGCCTTGTCCTCATTATTCCCCTGCGCCTCCTCCTCCCTCCTCCCTCCCTCCTCCTTCCTCCCCCCTCGCTGCCCGCGCCCGCCGGCGCCGCCCCCTGGGGCCCCCGGGAGGCGTCAGCGCGCTGCACCTCGCCGCCTTCGATGGGAGCGTGGACCTCTGCAAGGCCGCCACTCTCGGGGGGGGGAGAGAGAGAGAGAGAGAGAGAAACAAACAAAAAAAAAAAAAAAAAAAAATCGGAGGAGTAGGGGGAGGAGAAGGAGGAAGAGGAGGAGGAGGAGGAGGAGGAGGAGGAAGAAGAGAGGAGGAGCAGGAGTAGAGCAGGAGGAGGAGGAGGAGGTCCAGGAGGAGCAGGAGGAGGAGGAGGAGAAGGGCGAAGAAGAAGAAGAGGAGGGGGAGGAGAAGGAGAAGGAGTAAAAATGACGCTGTTCGAAGCGACAGCGTCATTTCCACAGTAGACTTGAGGAGTGCACACGTTTATACCGCAATCAGTCGAGATAGAACAGCCAGTCTCTGGGAGCCTAAAGCAGCGCCACAGGGAAGGAAAGGTGAAGGAGGAGGAGGGAAATAAGGAGGACGAGGACGAGGAGGGCAAAGAGGACGACGACCCAGACCCCCTCGCGTCGTGAAAGCGCGACGGAAGGTTTTTGACCACTTTCGGCCTTGCCCACGTTGGGCCCCTGGACCGGAAAAATACCCTGGATGCAAAGCCAGTTCCAGGGAAGTGGTCGATACCTCTGGAGAAGGCGCAGGAGGCGAGGAAGGATGAGGACTGGGCGAGGGAGGGGGACGAGGAAGAGGAGGAGAAGGAGGAGGAGAAGGAGGAGGCGGAGGCGGAGACGGAGGCGGAGGCGGACGCGGACGCGGACGCGGAGGCGGAGGCGGAGGAGACTGGAAAGGCGAAGGAAAGGGAGTACAGGGAGGGCGAGGAGGAGGAGGAGGTGGACGAGGAGGAGGACCATGGGCGCCCGAATGGTGGACGTGACAAGGTTTTGCTACAGGTTGCTGCAAGGAACACCGATAATCGATGGCGATGCGCTGCAGGCAGAGACTGGTGACACTGTAGTGGGCCGAGTGGGCACGCAACAACTCTTTGTTGAAATGCACATGGCGAAGACGCGAGGAGAGGAAATGATGGTAGCGAATAGGAGGGCACAAGCCCGGAGCGCACAGGAGAAGGTGGCAGACGGGAGGGACTGATTGGGGGGTACAGATAAATATAGGGAGAGGGAGAGGGAGAGAAAGAGAGAGAGAGAGAACAACAAAAGATAAACAAAAAAACGAGAGCGCGAGAGAGAGAGAGACATTAAGCGAGAGCCAGAGAGAGAGCCAATAAGGGAGAGAGAGAGAGAGAGAGAGCGAGAGCAAGCAAGCAAGCAAGCAGGGAAATGCAGAATGCAGCAATAGGATACGTATGATGGGGGTGGCAACAAGGGATCAAAGACAGTGGGGCTTCATCAATTCCTCGGCCCTCTCCCTCCTCATCCTCCTCATCATAGTCCCTCCTCCTCGTCCCCCTTCTCGTACTCATCCCCTTCCCTCCAGGGGAGGAGGGAAGAGGAGGGGGAGGGGGAAGGAGGAGAGGAGAAGGGGAGCTTTGATAACATCTAGGACATCGAGGTTCCAGGAACCAGGATCGAGGATCGAGGCTTGAGGGATCCAGGATCGAGGGGCGAGGCTTGATAGTCGCAGGAAGCGGTGACACCAGCCACATCGGCGCCAGCCAGCCTCCCGCCAGAGGAAGGAGGACCTGGGAGAGGGAAGGGAATCAGGAGGGAGGAGGGAGGAGGATCAGGATCAGAGCTCCGAAAACTTGGTGCATCGGTCAGCTCATTGCCAGCATGAAACCCAAACCCCCTTGCGCTGCGGAAAAAAAGCAACAAAAGGCTCGGGATGAAAAAAGCCGGTCCCGGGGAGTGGGTCCAGACCTCTTGGGGTCGCGTCGTGAAATAACCATGACGTCGGGGGAATCGGGAACCAGGCTCGGAGGAAAACCGATGGAAAGGGCCGAGGCTCGGCTCAGGGATACCCCCAAAGCTTGCGCCGAGCCACCGCTACGAAAAACAAGCAGGAGCTTTCGGAGACGATTGCATCACGAGGGCTGGGTGTACGGTTTCCTAGACACTCTGTCCCCTGATAGGCAGAGAAGTTGTATCCTTTGGCGCGTGTCCGCCGCGACAGCGGCGCCAGCGATGTGCGTCGGCATTTCGGGCAGCGCGCCGAGCAGGAGCAGCGCCAGTTGGCCGGCGTGAGAAGCAGCGCCCAAGACCACACAGCGTCCTGCGCCCCGGAGGCCGCCACGGGAAGGCAGCACCTAGAGGACGGGGCCCAGCAGGCCGAGGCAGGGGGGGGAGGTGACGTCGGCGACGGCCGAGCGACGGTGGCGAAGGACGACGACACGAGGGCCCAGGGACCCGAGGGAGACTAGGAGCAGGAGGAGGAGGAGGAGGAAGGATAAAAGAGGAAGAGGAAGGAGGAAGGAGAAAGGAGGAAGGAGGGAGGAGGAGGAGGAAGGAGGAAGGAGGAAAGAGGAAGAGGAAGGAGGAAGGAGAAAGGAGGAAGGAGGAAGGAGGAAGGAGGAGGAGGAGGAGGAGGAGGAGGAAGGAGGAGGAGGAGGAGGAGGAGACCTGCTCGAATTCTTGCCTCGCAGGCAGCATAATCTGGTGGCTCTGAAGCATGGTTGAGCGCTTCGGGTGCCCAGGATGGATACCACGTCCTCCTTCTGTAAAACACAAAAGTGTTTGCACAAACAGGGTCTGGGGCCTCAGCTGTTCGAGCTTCCCAGAACTCAGCTGCGGTCGAGGGCGCGATCTGGGGCCTGGTCCTGGGCTTCGGAGCCGAGGAGGCAGGAAGAGCGGTACCCGAAGCCCAGGGCCTCGAAGCGGGGGCCCAGGAGGTAGGAGGAGGCGCGGCACTCGAAGCCCTGGGCCTCAGAGCGGAGGTCAAAGAGGCAAGTGTCGGCGCGGTTCTCGAAGCCTTGGGCCTCCTCGCGGAGGTCGGGGAGGCAGGTGGAGAAGGTGGTGCCCGACGCCATGGTCCGAGGAGTCGAAGAGGTCGCTCGAAGCCCGGGTCGGGGGTCTCGACGCCGTGGGCGTAGAGGTAGAAGGAGGCGCGATACTCGTCGAAGCGGAGTCCTCCTCCTCCTCCTCCTCCTCCTCCTCCTCCTCCTCTTCCTCCTCCTCCTCCTCCTCCTCCTCCTCCTCCTCCTCCCTCCCCCCCCCCCACCCCCCGCCTCCACCTCCCTGGTAGGAGAGGTCGGAGCAGGCCGTGAGAATGGTCGTTGAGCCCGCTCAGCGTCGGCAGGAGCAGCATCTGTCTCATGCACTGCACCACCCTCGGTCGTGTCTACCTCTCCGTGCAAGCTTTTGAGCCAGCCCTGAGGTTCGAGCTCCGTGTGGCTCTGCGGGGCCCGAGCCTGCGTCAGCTCCGCCCCTCGTCTGCATCCTACTGTCCGGGATGGTCGCGCGGATCGAAGGGCCGAGGTTGAACAGCAACGTGTTTCTGCCGTTCTGGTCGTAGCAGCGGTCCCTCTTGCAGAATCAGATCAGGTCGCTCTTGGCGCGAGTGTCCAGCCGCTGCAGCTGGTGGCATAGTTCTGCGAGTTGCTTCGCACTGGCGGCTCCCACGGCCTCCTTGCGCCCCACCAGTCCAAGAAGCAGCCCGCCGAACACCAACAGATGGGGCGGGCCTGAGTTGCGTTCCGTGCTCTGAGCGGCCACCGCCTCTGAGTATTTGGTGCCGTTCTCGCTCATCTTCGTGGCCTTGTGGCTGTTGGACTAGATCGAGATGCAGTCGCACACCACCGCCTCCACGTTCCTTGTTGACCGGTTTACCTGGAGCAGGAATTTGAGAACCAAAATTCGGAGCGTCTTCTGCGCTCCCTTCATGCCGGGGTCTGTCGTTTTCTCTCCGTCCTGTCGGGCATTGACTCTGCGTGCGTCTCCTTTGCCACCTCCGCTGATTGCAGGCTGGGCCGCGGTTGCCGCAGCTCCCCTCCTCCGAACATAATTAGGTACTTCTGGGAAGAACGAGGGGCCGCGGGCTGGTGGTCAAGGCCATCGGTGCCGAGGAGGAAGGAGGAGGAGGAGCAGCAGCAGCAGCATCAGCAGCAGGAGCAGGAGGAGGGGGAGGAGGGTAGACCAGTGTAAACCCAAGAGGCATCAACGATGTTGGAACAAATCCTCCCTCCAAGCTCCCTCTTCAAAGGCCCCTACAACGGTTCATTTTTACTGAGGGAACTGCCTCGTTGGAAGACGACGGTTTGAAGACCCTGAAGCATGCCAAAACATTGTTCTCGGGATTCCAACGCCACGGATCAACATGATTGTTGCGTCTTGACGACCCGTGCGAGGAAGTCATTCTTTTGACTTGAACACCGCGAATCAAAATAATGCGTGCACCCTCAGAAGCCGGAATTCTTCCAAAACGCCATGTCCGGTACGTCCACCATGGGAGTCCGTGAAACTCTCGCCAGTTTAGCACAAGTGTGCTCGGCGCTAAGGAGAGAAAAACACTTTGAAAAGAAAACGCCTTCCATTCGCGAAGCTGGTGTAAACTTCTAAGACGAATGTGCGCGGCGCTGAGGCGAAAGCCACATGTTACTGCCCTCAATCCGTGAAACGAGTGTACATGTTTAAAACGAATGTGCGCGGCGGTAAGGCGAGAGCCACATGTTGATAACCACTCGCCTTCAATCCGTGAAACGATTGTAAATGTTTCAAACAATTGCGCGCGGCGAGAATTAAGGCGAGAGCCACATGTTGAAAACCACTCGCCCTCGATCCGTGAAACGATTGTACACGTTTAAAACGAATGTGTGCGGCGCTAAGGCGACAGCCACATGTTCAAAACCATTCGCCCTCAAAATGTGAAACTGTTTGCAATGTTTTAGCACGAATGTGCGCGGTTGCTCAGGCGAGAGCCAGATTTTGAAAAGGAACCGCCCTCAACCCGTGAAGCCGTTGCACATGTTTAAGACGAGTGTGCGCGGCGCTAAGGCGAGAGCCAGATTTTGAAAACGACTCGCACTGAATCCGTCAAACGATTTCAAATGTTTAAAACGAATGTGCGCGGCGCTAAGCCGACAACCACATTTTGAAAACGACCCGCCCTCCATCTCCATCTGTGGAAACTATTGTCAAGTTTACAGCTTCAGAGTCATGGTGGGGAACTCTCGGGCGAAACGCCTGGCCCGCCTTAAAAGCTGGCCTCGGGGTGCGACACGGAGAAGTTATTCATAAGGGGAAGGAATGGAATGGAGGAAGTGGAGGGGGAGGGAGAGGAGGAAGCGGGGGAAGGGAGGGGAGAACTCCCCACCCTTCTCCCGCTTCCCGCGAGGGCGGGGGGCGCGCTCGGCGCATCCCTGGAGGTCTCCAGAGCCCTTCGGCGGGGACCCCGGGAGACCCAGGCATGCGAAGGACCGGCTTTTTCAACCCCAGTGTTTTTTTGGCCGATTTCGGCCTCTGGGGGGGCAGCCTATTCGGGCCCGGGACAATCAATCAAAAGGATCCGGGACAAAAATTGTCGCCGAGGAAGGAATCAGGAACTCTGAGGCCGCCGACTGACAATGAACAAACATTGTCGGACGTCTGGAGACCTCCGCGAGGCATATTTCTGCATACAGTTAGAGGCCGCCAGAAGCCCCAAAAGGGGGGGGCTCATGAATCATAAGACCTCGACGCTCGATCCCTCCACCCGAACATCCGACGATGCGATTTGATCAGCCCGCGGCCACCGAGCTCCTGGCCCCTTCCCCAGAGGAAGTTTTTCGTCCGAGATCCCTGTTTCATCGCCCTGGGGCGCGCAGGCGGCTCCCAGAGGCCGAAGTCGGGGGAACAGCGCTGCGATTTAGAAACAGCGCACCAAAGATACGTCTAAGGTCTGCCCCTCCTGGGGTCCCCACCAGACGATCGCGGGGGGCCTCTGGAATGAGCCGAGCGCCCCCCCCGCCTTCGCGGGAAGCACGAGAAGGGGGGAGGGTGGGGGGTCCTCCCCTCCCTCCTCCTCCTCCTCCTCCTCCTCCTCCTCCTCCTCCTCCCCCTCCTCCTCCTCCTCCTCCTCCTCCTCCTCCTGCTCCTCCTCCTCCTCCTCCTCCTCCTCCTCCTCCTCCTCCTCCTCCTCCTCCTCCACTCCTCCTCCTCCTCCTCCCCTCCTCCTCCTCCTCCTCCTCCCCCTCCTCCTCCTCCTCCTCCTCCTCCTCCTCCTCCTCCTCCTCCTCCTCCTCCTCCGCCTCCTCCTCCTCCTCCTCCTCCTCCTCCTCCTCCTCCTCCTCCTCCTCCTCCTCTCTCCTTCCTTCTCCTCCTGCTCCTCCTCTTCCTCCTCTTCCTCCTCTCCTGCCCCGCCCCCCTCCCCCTTCCCTCCTCCACTTCCGCCACGGCCACCTCCCCCTCGGTCGGAGGTTATCCTCTTCGCCCACGCGCACGTGGACCAGCGCGACCGCCACGGGCAGACGCCTCTCTTCTTCGCGCCTTCCGCTGCGGTCCCGCCACGCCGCCCGCCCGCGGCCTCGCCTCCACGCCCCTCGCCCTCCGTCCTCTGTCCTCCCTCCTCTTCCTCCTCCTCCTCCCTCCTCCTCCTCCTCCTCCTCCTCCTCCTCCTCCTCCCGCCTCCTCCGCCTCCTCCTCCTCCTCCTCCTCCTCCCCCTCCTCCTCCTCCTCCTCCTCCTCCTCCTCCTCCTCCTCCTCCTCCTCCTCCTCCTCCTCTCCTCCTCCTCCCTCCTCCTCCTCCTCCTCCTCCTCCTCCTCCTCCCTCCTCCTCCTCCTCTCCTCTCCTCCTCCTCCTCCTCCTCCTCCTCCTCCTCCTCCTCCTCCCTCCTCCTCCTCCTCCTCCTCCTCCTCCTCCTCCTCCTCCTCCTCCTCCTCCTCCCTGCGCCGCCCCTCCTCCGCCCCCAGCCGGTTCAGCATGAGTGGAAGGCCCCCGACCTTGCGCACTATCCGCACGACAGGCGTTGCCGCGGCGGCGAAAACGACGGCCGCCGCGGCAAAAACGGCGGCACCTGCCGCGCGGAAGGTGCGCAAAGAGGAGGTCGAGGGGTGGCCCTGGAGGAATCCAGACTTCCAGCGCAGTGTGAAGAACAACAAAAAAATCACGCTGGTGTTTCCGTGTGTCGCTGCTTCTGGGGGCCATCTCTGGCCCGGGAATCTTAAAAAGACGACTCGGGGTGAAAAACCGGCCCCTGGAAAAGGATTTGGACTTCCGGGACCGCGCATTGAAATGACCCTGCGAGGTGTTCAACACATCTGCATTAAGTGACAGGAGGAGTTGGTCCAGCTGGTGGCAGCACTGGATCTGTCATTGGCTGCGCAAGCTAAATGGGAAGCGCACGCGCGTTGCACGGACCACAGGACAGCAACAGAAGGACGAGGGCCCCAGGCTCGAGGGGGACATGGGGCTGGGGACGAGTGGCAGGAAAAGGATGGAAGAGGGGACGAACAGTTAACGCGACAGCATCAGTAAGACGGTGGAGGGAGGAAGAGGACGACAAGGAAGATACAGGATGATGAAGGAAGGTGGCGATCATTTTCCAGCGGCATTCTGTACAAGTAGCGCGGCCCACGCCATGTCGCTCTGGCGCTCCAAGCTCCATGTGTTCATCCGCCAGTGCAAGAATCGAGCGAGGCCAAGCTCGCCCGCCAGATTCTCCGTTTCCTTACTGCATCTTGCAGTGCGGGACCTCAACTCAACGCCCGCAGGTGCGCCGCCAGGTCTTCGGGCAGCCCATGGGAAAGAAACCAGTGTTACCTTGAATTTGCGTAGGACGTCATTCCGCTGGACACCCCAGCTGCCCTCGAAAGTGGTTGCGTTTTCGCAGTTCGCAGCCCCCCAGGGATGACGAAGTCCAATATGAATCCGCGTAAGACGTCATTCCGTTGGACCCCCAGCAGCCTTCGAAAGCGACGCGAGCTTCGCACCTCGAAGCCCTGCGCGGATGGCGAGGTCGAATCTCAATGTGTGTAGGGCGTCATCCCGCTCGCCTTTGAAAATGGCGAGAACGCAGTTCGTAGCCCCCAAACATGGCGAGGCTTTAATTTTGAATCTGCGAAAGACGTCATTCCGTTGGACCATTCCAGCAGCCTTGGAATGTAGCGACGTGTTCGCAGTTCGCAGCCCCCCCCGGATGGCGAAGTCGAATCTACGTTGGACGTCATTCCGCTGGACCCCCAGCAGCTTTCGAAATTGGCGACACCCGCAAAGTTTGTACCCCCCCAGGAATGGCGAAGTCGAGTCTGAATGTGCGTAAGATGTCACCCCGGCAGACCCCCTCAGCAGCCCTGGAAGGTAGCAGGAATTTCGCGCAGTTCGACCCCACACCCAGATGACGAGGTCGAGTATGAATCCGCTTGTGACGCCACCCCGGTGGACCCGCCCCCTCACCAGCAGCCCGCAGCCCAACAAAGACGGCTAGGTCTAATCTGAATCCGCGTGCGACGTCACACCGCTGAACCCCCCAGCAGCCCTCGAGAACCGCACGAATCTCGCAATTCGCAGCCCTTCAGAGATGGCGAGTTCTACCTTGAACCCGCGTATGACGTCACCCCGCCAGACCCTCCAGCAGGTTTCAAAAGTGGCGACCATTTCGCGGTTCGCAGCACCCCAGGGATGGTGAGTTCGAGTATGACTCCGTGTATGACGTCTTTTTGATGAACCTCAGCAACCTTCGAATGTGGCGACGCTCTTCCATCCCACATCCCATCCAGGATGGCGAGGTCAAACCTGAACCCGCGTATGACGTCACCCCGCTGGACCCACCATCAGCCTTCGAAAGAAACGACTGGTTCGCAGTTCGCACCAGCCCAGGGGCGGTGAGGTCTACGCAATCTGCAGCCACCTATGATCTCACTCCGCTGGACCCCCCAGCAGCCCTCAAAAGTGGCGACAGTTTTGCAATTCGCAGCCCAGCACAGACGGCGAGGTCGAATGTGAATCTGCCAATAACGTCATTCCGTTGGACCCCCCAGCAGCTTTCAAAAGTGACGACGCTGTCGCAGTCCACAGCCAAACAGGGATGGCGAGGTCGAATATGAATTCGCGTATGCCGTCGCTCCGCTGAACCCCCTTCGAAAGTGACGACCGTCTCGCAGCTCGCAGCCCCCCAAGGACGATGAGGTTTCATTTGAACCCACGTATGACGTCACTCTGCTGGACCCCTGGAAGTGGCAGCCCTTCCGCAGCTCGCAACCCTCAAGGGATGATAAGGTCTACCCTAAATCCGTGTATGACGTCGGTCCGATGGACCCCATCAGCTTCCGAAAGTGACGACAGTTTCGCAGTTCGCAGCACCCCAGGGATGGTGAGGTCGAACCCGAACCTCTATATGACGCCACTGCGCTGGAACCCCCAGCAGCCCATGAAAGCGGCTACGGCTGCAAAGTTCGCAGCCCCCCAGGGATGTCGAGGTCTGAATCCCCAGACCACCGACGTCATGATTTTTTCATGACGCGGCCCCCAGAGGTCCAGACCCCTTCCCTGGGACCGGTTTTTCATCCCGAGTCGTTTTTTTACGGTCCTGAGGGCCGGTGGAGGTTCCCAGAGGCCGAAAATGGCGAAAAACCTCCCGTCGTGATTTTTGCATGACTCGAGGGGGTCTGGGTCCGCAGATGACGTCACTCCGCTGGGCCCCCCGCGGCCCTCGAGAGTGGCGACGGCTCCGCGGACCGCAGCTCCCCCCCCTGCGAGGGCGAGGAAGCGCGGGGCAGAAAGAGCAGGCAGGAGGCAGGCAGGGCTGCAGGCCCATAGACGCAGCCGTGACCCTGGAGCCCTCCTCCTCCCACCTCCTCCTCCTCCTCCTCCTCCTCCTCCTCCTCCCCCTCCCCCTCCTGACCCTTCTCCTCCCCCTCCCCCTCTTCCTCCTCCCTCATCCTGCCCCTCCTCCTCCCCCTCCTCCTCCTCCTCCTCCTCCTCCTCCTCCCCCCCCCCCCTCCTCCTCCTCCTCCTCCTCCTCCTCCTCCTCCTCCTCCTCCTCCTCCTCCCCCCTCCTCCTCCTCCCCCTCCTCCTCCTCCTCTTCCTCCTCCTCCTCCTCCTCCTCCTCCTCCTCCTCCTGACGGGGCACGAACGCCGAGGGCATCCCGACGCAGTGCGCACGCGCGCCGGCGTGCAGCTCTGCGCCACCACCCCGAGAACGAAAACGAAGCGAAGCGAAGCGAGGCAGGCAGACGGGAGGGGGGGGGAGAGGAGGAGGAGGAGGGAGGCGGGAGGAGCGGAGACCGCAGTGCTCCATCCCAAACGACGCGAGCCCAACGCAGGAGGGCTGGAAAAATCAGGACGCCGGGAGTCAAGGAAAGGGTGCCTCAGGCTAGGTGCGCTCGCGCCATAGCTGACGTCCTGCCCGCCCCTCCCATCCCTTACCATGGCGTAGATATCCTCTCGATTCGCACCGTCGCATGTCGAGCAGGGCAATGATCGCGAGAAGGTGCGCGATGCATGGCAGAGCACGGAAAGGGTTCCTGGAGATTTTGTCGCCGTGTTCCGCCCCCCCCCCACCCCCTGGACCTCGACCATCAAAAAACAATGTAGGATACAAGTGTTGCCCATGGAAGGGCCCACTTCCACCAGGGCCCCTGTTCCTTCTCATGCCAACTGTCATCGTCGTCCCTTGTTCGCCCCCCTCCCTCCCGAGCCAGGCGCCGCACAGAAAAGCTGCGACAGCAATCAGCTGCAGGCGTTCGGCCTCTCGAGGCCAGTTCCAGGCCCCGAGACCGCCAAGACAGAGCTCAGCATGAGAAGCTGGCCCCGAGGAAGGGGCCGAGACCTGCGGGTGATCACATGGAAACAAATCACAGAGACGGGGGCGGCATGGGCCTGCCTCCTCCATCCCTCTCCTGCGGGCTTCCGAGGAGGAGATTCATCGGATCGGAAGGTGACTTCAGCGCGCGGTGCCACTTTAAACATGCGTTGACGACGTTAGTTGGTGGATCTGCTATGCGGCATCTGCGGTGGCGCTCTCGATCACTCGAGATTAAGAGGTCGTACGGACGTCCGCTGTCAAGTTACACGAACAGTCCAGACTGCAGTTGTAGCAAACGTGTTTAAAATGTATACAGGCATGAGGAGGAGTACGAAGCGACATGAGGAGCAAAACCTTGGACGCCTCAGCCACGCTGAAATCCCCCCGCGCCTGCCCCCACGGGGACCTTTACTGGCCGCAGGCTGGTCGAAACATGATCGGTCCGTGTGTTCCGACGTTCTAGGAAGTATTGTTATTCGGCCATTCGACATTCGACCATGTACATTCTTCAGGGCCGATGTGCTACCGTCGAGAGCCCTCGCGTCATGTGGGCCTTCTCTGGAAGGGCATCGCTTCCGAGGGATCGCATGAGTTGGCATCTCTTCCCCAGCGGGAGTCCAACGGGTGCGGCGCTGCGGGGAGAAGCCGGCGGAGTACCGTCGGCAGGTTGCGGAGGCGACGTCGCGAGTGCATTCATCGCAACAGGTGCAGCCCTGCTCCGATGCCCCTTGGCCTGACAGGGAGCTCTGGCGTGGCCAAGACAGCGTTCGGAGACGGGGGGTCCAGTCATTTCCTGCAGCCACTGTCCAAAACATGCGATGTAAGTAACTATAGCTCCCCGTTGTTATCTGTACTTTGCCTCCCCCAGAGAGGGCAGTGCTTGATTTGGTTGGTGCTCTCGGGGCTCGGCCACGCGGTCTCGCACGCGCCCAGTCTCCAGGCCTCCGTACGCCCGCTCCTCGGGGCACGCCCCGGAGCCCGACGCGAGTCCCGAAGCAGCTTGTCCACACAGGCGGGGCGCTGGAGAAGGAATCCTTCTCGTTTGGGGGGGGCTGAGTGGTCCTTAATGTTTGCACGGGTTGCCTAAGGGTTTCCTTGGGTTTCGATGGGAAGCCGAATTTTAGCTTATGGATAAAAGGGGCCTCGTTCCTTCCTTAGGGTTCCTTAGGTCAGGGTTGTGCTTCTTCCATCCCTGTCACTATAGCCCTACATCCCTAGCCCGATAGGCCTACCCTTCGCCCTATCACGATTCCCTCCCATCGTGGACCCCAAGCGTGACCCACATCGTAGCCCCCCCTCGTAACTGTGTGAAGTCAGTTGCAAGAGCATTCTTTCTTCATTGCCCAGACCCCTGGAGGTCTCGACCCACTCCCCGGGACAGACTGTGCATCGGGAGACGGTTCTTGACGCTCCCGGGGCTCCGTGAGGGCCCCACGAGGCAGCAGCGTGCCGACAACCATCCGACGCGTTTTCTTCCCAGCACAAGTCTAGGCCTCCTAGATGGGGTCCGAGTTGATGGGGTCGGAGGATCGCGCCGCATCGCCGATGCATCGCCGATGCGGCTCGATGCGGAGCCCGACTTGCTTCATGCGGACGTCGCCGATGAGTCGCCGACGTCGCGGATGCATCGCCGATGCATCGCTGATGCATGGCCGATGCATCGCCGATGTATCGCCGATGCGGCGCGATCCTCCGACCCCATCTACTCCGACCCCATCTAGGAGGCCTCTAACAAGGGTGTGTGGGCTCCAGGCAGATGTGGGCACGCGGGTGCCGCCCAGCAACACCTCGGGCGTTGTGCCGCGGAGCCGGCGGGCATGCGGGTCCTGGAGCGCGGGCCGGCGGGCTTGGGGGCGCGCGCCGATCGCGGAGCGGGGGCCACGCTCCCCAGCCTGGCAGGTCTGCAAGGTGCTGATCGAGAGCAACTCGGACGTGCGGGTGTTGAACCGCAAGGGGCAGTCGGCATCCCCCTCTCTCGCCCTCCGCGCAGAGGGCGGGGACATCATGCGGCGTCGGGACGGTTCGGATGGCAGCTGGAGAGGACCGAATGAGCTTGGAAAGACGTACGGAGTCGAAGAGGGCCCAGCGAGGTCTGAGAAAGTTCTCGGACGCGCAATCGCGTGATCGACGCTGGACGTTGGTGTTTTCGTTCCGCGGTTCGGGGGGGAATCAGTCGGCAAAGCATCGAACGTTTTCACCGACGGGCAACCACGAGCTGTGAAAGATTTGGATGCAGGCCCGATGGCGTCCGAAAGGGCATCAACAGGTTCTTCCAAATAGGAATTCAGTGCCCTCTCCCCATCCACAGAAGAAGCGTCCTTCGCGCGAAATGAGTGATGCTCTTGCAAGCTTTGCTGCCACGCATTGCTGCCATTGTGCCTTGGGAGTAGAGAGGTTGTCTGTAGGGATGTAATTTGGTAGCCTTTGGGGTCCTCCTGTTTGGACGCCTCTCGATGGCACCCCAGAAAGTCTCAGAGAGTTCTGGACTGGTCCTGGAGGGGTCGCACGGTCCTCCAAGGACAGGTTTGGGGCCCTCTTGGGCAGCACAGTCAAGACGCTGAAATAAGGAGCAATTTGGGCACGAAAGGGGCTCGATGTTTCTTGGGTCAGTCTGTGGTTGTTCCTCTGGCCTTCCTCGTGCACGCTGGCGCTTTTGGAGCCAAAAAGAGACTTCATTCCTTGCTTTCCGTTTTCTACTTCAGCAGCCTGATTGTATTCAGGCCGTGGTGGCACCCTCGTGCGCAGTCTTGCGGCGCCTCTGGGGCAGAGCTGGACCGTGGAGCTGCACCAGTGGCCGAACTGGGCGGCACGGCGAACACCCAGAATCCGAGCTCAGATTCAGACTTGAGTAAGCGCTTAGTCATCATGGAGGAAATGCTTGGTTACGTCGAAGAAGAAAAAACGCCATCAGCATAAGCTGTTGGCGCTCCGCGCGGATTTCTTGGATCCGCGGTGGGGCCCCCCGCCGGCGCCTCCAGCGCCGCCCCTGGCGCGCTCCGTGCGCCAGGGAGGGGGACTCATCGCAGATCCAAGAAATCCGCGCGGAGCGCCACAAGTACGGTACTGACGCATTGACCGCACTTATGCCCAGTCAGTCCTGCTGATGTTGCTGCTGCTGCTGCTGCTGCTGCTGCTGCTGCTGCTGCTGCTGCTGCTGCTGATGCTCCTCCTCCTCCTCATCCTCCTCCTCTTTCTCCTCCTCCTCCTCCTCCTCCTCCTCCTCCTCCTCCTCCTCCTCATCCTCCTCATCCTCCCACGTCTCCACCTCATCCTCCATAACTAGCATCGTCCAACCAATCCCCGTCGTCACTGGGCTACAGTATCTCTGACCCACCAAGTCACCCAGCACAGGTGGGGATGGGTCCCGTGAAACCCGAAGGGCACAGCATACATGCCCACCGAGGAGGGCGGCCAGTGGGGCCATGGCCATGCCAGTGGGGATATTGATCGATTAAACAATGCTCACGCAAGAAGGGCCAACGTCAAGGGAGGAGAACGCACCCCGCCCCCCGTAATCTGCGCCTCCTGAACTGCACCGGGCGTTTACGGAACAGCCCTGTCCTGCTCGATGTTCGATCATGTCTTTGGGTGCGTCTACGGGGCGGCTTCGCCTGTCGGGGTGCTGATTTTGAGGGTGGTGTTTCTGCTTTCTACTTCGGGCGCGCCCGTGGGAGGGGCGCGGGCGAGCCTGCAGGACGGCTGCGGAGAGGAGCATTGAGAGCAGCGGCGCCGCAGGCGCTGCACCTCGCCGGGAGAGCAGGCCTCTGCGAGGCGCCTCGCTTGCTGCCGCGCCTGCGCGCCTTACCACCCAGGCCGCCCTGCTTGCCTGGCCTGCCCCCGCCCGGGGCCGTTCCCAGACCCCCATCGCGTCGTCCTCTTCTTTCTTCTTCTCCTCCTCTTCCTCGTCCTCTTCCTCGCCCTCCTCCTCCTCCTCCTCTTCCTTCTCCTCCTCCTCCCCCTCCTCTTCCTCCTCCTGCTCCTCCCTCGCCCCCTCTTGTCGTTTTTGGCATGATGCACAAACTGTCGCCTGTGGGTTATGAGAAGTTCTCCACGCGACGCCTGGCCGATCCTGCGCTTGATTCTTCGTCTGCCGTCCAGGGGACCGCCCCGGCACTGGAGCTGGCACGCATACCGGCTTGCATTGCCTTGCCTCGCGTTGTGGAAAGAACTAGACGTGAGGTTTTTTGCAATCTTGGTTCCAAACACCCTCAGCAGCTCCGCGGCTTTGCCTCGCTGGAACGCCTCTGAGCGTGCGATGGCTGCAGGTCCGGTGGAGTGGGCAAGGCCCCAACCTCGGACGCGAGAGAGCTAGCAGAGCATGCCTGGCCTGAGTGACATGCTGCATTTGCACGTTTGGCTCACGGCCGATGAGTAAGTTGATCGTTGAGGGGCCGAGGGACCTCATACACGGCTCAGTTTTGTTTTTAGCATTGCCGCTCGCTTTGGATGACGGTCAATCCGTTATATTCGTACCGTTCTAGTTTTAGTTTCAGCGTTCGTTTTGGCGTTTGGTTTAGCTTATATCGTTGTGCTTTGAACAACTGAATTATAAGCAGACTGGCTTATATCAGCTTCAGCAGCTGTGTTATGATTGGGGGATAAATGATACTCCAGAGCTTCTCTTCGCTGCAAATGTAGGTGAAGTATCAGTTCCAGTTGAAGCAATGTTCGAGACCTCGAGCGCCCCCCCCCCCACCCCCACCCTCTTCAGCACAGTAATTGTACATGTGAGCTGCCACGACCGAGTCGAGTTCAAGGTTGAGTTGCGTTTCTAGATTTGATCCGATGAGTTCTATGGTACTTAGGTCACAGAGCTCTCGAGATGGGTCTCTCTTTGGCTGATTGGTGACCAGCGCAGCGGAATACGGTCTCATGATTGCGAAGGCCTTACGGCCAGTGCCGCCGACCCTGAATGGCGAAGACGATGACGACGACGACGACGACGACGACGACGACGAGGGCTCTCGGCTGCCTCTTGGGGGTAGTTTGGGGGCCTCTTGGGAGGTTCTTGGGGGCCGCTTGGGAGCCTCGTGGGGGCCTCTTGGGGCTTCCTGGGGGTCTCTTGGGGGCCTCTTGGGTCCTCTTAGGGGGCTTCTTAGGGTCCACTGGGGGCCTCCTGTGAGCTTCTCAGGCCGAGGGCTCGAAATGACCGTTCGGGTCCCTCGTCTGGGCTCCCCCTTGGAGCCGTCTTGGGGGCCTCTTCGACTGTCTTGGAGGCCTCTTGGAGACCTCTTGGGCCATGTTGGGGCGGTCTTGGGGGCCCCTTGGCTTGTCTTGGAGCGTCGGGAAGCTGACAAGGCGAGAATGCCGAAATCTTTCAAAAACCCAAGAGAACTCTATGATGTTTGCCCCTTGGGACCCTCTTGGAAGTCCTCTTGGTTTCCTCTTGGGGCATTTTGGAAACCTTTTGAGCCATCTGGAGGCTACTTTGGCGACGGACCGATACTTCGGCGATTCGGGGCCCTCGAGCACCGTCTTGGGGGCATTTTGGGGCACGTTTGCATTCTTGAGGCTTTTCTGGGCCCCGAACCGCCCAGGGGAGAGTCGTATCTGGGTGGCGACCCCCCCGGGGGGGGATGGCGACACCCCCTGGGACCCCCCCAGGGACCCCCCGCCACCCGGCGGGGAAAGGATCAAAGGGAAGGGGCTTCCCTTCGACCCAACTACAACAGGCATAGGGAAAGGAGAGGGGAGCGGCGAAGGCGACGACGACGACGACGACGACGACGACGACGACGACGACGGCGACGACGACGACGAGGGAGACGACGACGACGACGACGACGACGACGACGACGAGTTAAACGGAACAGCCTCGTCCACACGCCGACAGGGTCGGCGGGTTCACGATTGCATGTCGTGCCATTGTGCCCTTTGCGTGGCTCCCGTTCGCGCTTTACTACTAATGTGCTAGAATGTATATCTGTGCTTCGTGCCGTTTCCCCAGAGAAAGCTAGGACGCCACTTCTTCAGAAATGTTACACCCATCGAGAGCTGGCAGGCTTCTTCTTGCTCTCACGGCAAAGTGCGCCAGCTCAGGCTGCAGTGTTTCATTAGCGAGCCATTGCGGGCATGACCATTTACACCAATACCATATCAATACAAAGGGCCTGGTTCCCTTGGGGCGGCGCTCGAGGTCTATTTCATCATGTGCCGTTCGAAGGAAGGGAGCGAGGAAGGAGAGCAGAGGAAAGGAGGACGGAGCGGTTCACCATGAGGTAGACAATTTCCAGCCCACCACTGCCGCTCCGCGTCGTCCTGCTACCACCACATCGAGCCGGTGCTATTCATACCACACGTATGCCCGCCGACGCGTGCGGCCTGGTCCTGATGGCTGGTGTACCTTGTGACCCGCCGCTCTATTCTCTGAGCCTGGGCCCTCGGACCTGGGCCAATCCGTGCTCCATGCTGCATGCTCCCCCTCCCTGGAGCAAGGTGCTGGAGTGGCTGGGCTCGCGGGTGAGCCGCTCTCTCTTCGAACTGAAGGACGGCCCACACGCCCCCGAGGGGGGCGAGTGCCCCCTCCCACTCCTCCAGCTCGTCTTGCAGGGGGGGAGGGGCAGCTCGACAACAGTGAGGCAACGGGCTGCTTGCAACGCTGGTCTTTTGAACGCCCAGGACCGCCAAGAAGACAGCACAGGTTGAAAGACGCCCGGGAAAATTGAGCCGCGAAGTCGGAGAGGCTGTGTCTCGAAAGAGTCGAGCCGCCAGATGCTTTGGGAGAAAGAAGGAATCAGGCAAGGCCCTATGGGGCTACGGAGCTCGAATGTGCTTTAGTCAAGCAGTGGCGAAGCGTCCTGGCTCGCCTACAGATCGACCAAACCCTGTGCTCTGAACCTCTTGTGGTTTGCGCGAGATGTTCTCATAACAGATCTGGCTGAAACCGTGTTGTTTTAGCACGTCGGCTTCACGTTCTGAGAACATTGTCTTTGTTATTCGAACACTCCTTCGTTCTAAGAACATGTCGTGGGAGGCCTATAGGAATGCTGGGACGGTCGATCCCGGCTCAATCTAGAGGGTTTTGCGGAGCTTTATCACCCCATCTCCGTATTCCCCTCCCTCCGCTCCAATCATCCACGTTTGTCTCTTCTTCGGCCTTCCTTTCGTCCCCCCTTCCTCCCTCCTCTTCCCCGCCTCCTCATCGCCCCCTTCCTTATCTTGCTTCTGCCCTTCATCCTCCTCGTGCGCTCTGGTGGCGTGGACTCCTCCGTCTAATCCAGTTCTTCTCCTTATCCTACACCTCCTCCTCCTCCTCCTCCTCCTCCTCCTCCTCCTCCTCCTCCTCCTCCTTCTGCTCCTCCTCCTCCTCAACCACTCAATCATTCACTCACTCACTCACTCACTCAAACACACACACACACACACACCGTATCCCTCCACTTCCCGATCATCCTTCCCATTTCCCTTCCCGCACCGTGCCCCCTCCTCCCTCCCCTCCCGTCCACTTCCCCCCGCTCTCTGGGGAGATCAGGCGCGCAGACAAGTAAATATTTGATCGATCCTGTCAGTGTCATGCGTGACCTCGACAGGGCAAAGACCACCTGCGATAATAATCGGGGCTGCAGCAAAAGGGCTGGGGAGTGGTTATCTGGACGATCAGAACGAGGAAGAGGAGGAATGAGGACAGGAGGAATGGGGGGAGGCTGGGAATCAGGAGGAAGAGGAGGAGGAGGAGGAGGAGAAGGACGACGACGACGACGACGACGACGACGACGAGGTGGAGCGCGGGGTCCACTATGGTGAGCACACTGTCCAGTATCCGGTCACCCCCCACCAGCACTTGCGCAGGGAGTTTTGAGAGGGTGTGCCATGTGGTGCTTCAAGGCCGTAGCGGAGCTCCCCAGCTGAGAGGTTGTGCTTTGGGTGGTATTGCACGGGTTTGCCCCATGCCAGACGACAACAAAGATCAGTGCCGCAGTGGATTGCCTACGAGTTGCCTGTGTAAAAAAGGTGTGTGCGTGTGTGCCTGTGCCTGCTAGCAGCAGCGGCAGTGGCGGACTTGCTTCCATACGCCCCTTAGCCTAGAAGCTTCAGGCCTCGAGGCCTGACCAGTGGAGAGTGGCAGCGGGGTCAACGTGCGGCGGCAGACGCTAGAGTGTGGAGATCGGACGAGGCGGGCACTGCCGTGTGAAGGCTGTTTGTTGGATGGCACAGCTGAGAGTCAGAGCTGCTGGCGAAAGCAAGTGTAGGAGAACCGTACCCTCTTGCTTATTGACCTCATCATCCACGCCCTCCGCATCCTGCCCACCATTATTATGGTCTTCACCCCCCCTTTATCCCTCTCCTCCTCTTCCTCCTCCTCCTCCTTCTCCTCCTCCTCCTGGGTGGTTCCTTCCTGGCCCCCATTCGCCCCCTGCAGCCGTTTTGCCTGCGGGGGCGCGGGACGCGCCAGCCATTGGGAGCCCCCAGCCCCAGGCCCCGCCAGGCGCTTGGCGCGACTGCCGCGGCGGCCTCTTCCCCTGCTGCCACACCCAAGCGCCGAACGCCGCCATCACCTGGGTGGCATCGGAGGCTGCGCAGGAAGCGCGGGCAGGTTCGCCTGCTCTTGCGCCTCCATCGCGCCGCCCACATTCTTCGACAGCATCACGGGTCCCGCCTTCCAGGACCCTCGCCCATGGGCAAAGCTGCTCGCCAGGGTGAGTCCCGCGGCCCGCCCAAAGGGCGATGGGCGTGCATCGCGACGAGGCAGTGCGGTTTCCAGCGTAACGTTGCTGGCAACGACCGCTGCTATCGCTGCGGTCGCGATCGACAAGGTCGGCCAGACCCAGACGGAGGCGGACACGCACCAGCAGGACAGGGCCCCAGGCGGTCGTCGTCCGCAGGCGGTGCGCGACGCGCTGCCAGCGGAGGCGGTCGAGATGTTGCCTCGGTCGGATCGGCCCCAGAGGAGGTGGATCCCGTGGCACGGGCACGGAAGGCGCTACAAGCCCTGCGACGCCTCCAGCTGGACGACACCAATGCCCTCATCATCACCGCCAAGAGGCAGCTTGCAGAAGCGGAGGAGATCGAGCATGCCAGCCGCACGCCAGACGACCTCCTCCGCAGGGCGCTGGACAGGCAGACCGCCAAGCTGCGTGAGCACGAGACAGCCGACGCCGAGGTCAAAGTTTTCCAGCAGCAGTTGGCCGACAAGCAGGCAGCGCTCGCGACGCTCACTGACGAGCGGGTGGCGATCCGCCTCGAAGTGGCCGCGGCCCGTGCAACGGTCATGGCGGCCACCATCCCGTAGGCTGGCCCCGACGGCGTACAAGACGGTGATCAGGTTTTGGGGGCGCCTTCAAGCGCTGGTGACGGCCGCCCCAGCAGCCGTCCAGGCAGGTAATACCACCACTGCCCTCAGCAGCATCGGGTTCCACTCGCAGGAGCCCCACAAGGCCTTCCAGGAGCACAAGCGCCGTGTGGCACCACCAGTGGGACATGGGCCACCGCCTGCTGCCCGTGTGCAGCGTGCGGGTATGCCTCCTCACGGTATCGAAGCCTATCTGCACGGAGCCGTCACAGCCCAGGACTTGGCCATGTCCATGGGCGGCCCCGCCACAGCCATTTCAACTGCAATACCTGGCTCTTCGTCTGCAGCGACAGCGACAGCAACAGGTGCCGCCCCAGTGGCAGTCATCCCAGAATAGTTGTGGCGGGATGTCTTTCTTCGTGCCTGATCTCCGCAGTCTTGGTGTCCGCCGAGCAGCTGAGGAAGGCGCCTCTTCCATGCACATCGATTTAAATCATGCTGCAGTTTTGAATACACGCGGGCCTGATGTTGACCCAGGTGGTGCGATTGGCACTCCACGGTTTAACTTCGACAGAGTCAGCTGGTGGCGGCTCAGCAGCGCGGCAACCTTCAAAAGGGACATCCCCAGCGGTTTTGGTCACGCAGCACTCTGCGGGCGATTCAGAGGCTGCGCTCGCTGGGCCCAGCAATTACTCGGCACACTGGTGCTCGTTTCGATGGTGGTGGTCCCCCAGCGTCCTCTGTGGTCCAGCCCAGTTGCACACCTGACGTGCTGACGAACACGCCAGACGAGGAGGAGCTCACCGACCACCTGGAGACCTTCGTGGGCCACTCGTACGGGGACGTTATCACTTGGGATGGCACCATGGCTCAGGAGGGCGGGGGCGTCTGGTGCGCCCCCTACGTCGAATCATGCGTACGGGAACACGATGGCCTCAACAGCATAGCTCCGACCGATGCCTTGCGCAGAAAGTTGGCGAAGCGCACGCGTGGTTTCAACATGCTTCGCATCTTCGCCGGCATCTGAAGCATTTTCGGACTATCTATTTGGATGACCGCCAACGGTGGTACCACATGCTGCCGCAGCCCTTTCGCACACTTCGCGACGCGCGATTGCATCTTGCCAGCGAGATGCCTGACCAACTTCTTGGTGACTTCATGCGCGGGGAACCGACCCGAGCGCCTGACGCTGCGATGAACATGATGGCGGCACTTCGTGACAACATTGGCGACGCCCAGGAAGCCACTTCTGGAGAAGGTGATGCCCACCCTGGCCACCAACCGCCAGCGCCCGATCCCGCCGATGATGACGTGGACGCAGGTATGGATGATTACGTCACCCTCATTCAGGTCAATGATGGCGCGGCGAGAGTCCTCCAGTGCGCGAAGGCCACTGAGAAGCAGCTGCGATATGCTCGGGACCTGGGCCGCCCTGAACCGAGATCGAATAACAGCGAGATTGATCGCGTGCCCTCTCGATGCCGATGATGCAAGGGAATCTTGTACACATACAACCTACCTACTCAGCGGGCGGATTTCCAGTTTCATGCCACTACCTCGTCAGGCCCGCTTCGCGTTGTCCAGCGTGGTGGTGATGATCGTCGGCCTCCTGCTCTGCCTGCTGCTACTGCGGGGCCTCTAGATGGAGCTGCTGCTGGCGGTGCCCACCCCCCTCGACGTGCTCGTGGCGCGGATGGGACTTGCACCGCGCACGCGTTGGCAACTGGTGCTACTTCGCCAACACACCCATCTAGCGCGGCTGAGCCCATGCAGTCCTTTCCGACTGCCCCGCCGTCCTCGAGGCCTCGGAAGCGTGCTCGGCTGGCCCAGTCGCTGCCCACGGAGGCCACTGCAGTTTCACAGCGGCCCTCGAGTCGCCCATGGAGGCGGACCCCCAAGACGGTGTCTATGAAGACGGATGTTCGGGTCATCACATTCAACTCTAGTGGTTGGCCGCAAGCGAAGGCTCTTCTACAGGATGGGCCGCGCAATGCCATTGTTCTCATTCAAGAGCACAAGCTGCATGGAGATCGGTACTTGCGGGCTGTTGAGTGGGCAAGCGCGAACGGGTGGAAGCCCTCTACGACCCCTGCAGCACCCAGCGACCACCACGGTAGCCTTGGGAGTGGAGGAGCTGGAATCTTCGCACCTAGCCACATTGGTGTATCGGTGCCATGTCAGTCGGCTGATCACGTTATCGCCCCAGCCTTTGCTGTCTTTGTGCACGTACATGCGGGGCCTCGCCATGGCTTCCTGG